TTATGTAAAGCACTTTGAAATGCCTTGCTGCTGAAATGTGCTATACAAATAAAATTTGATTGATTGATTGATAAGCTAAAATAATGAGCCAAAATAAGTCACATTGATCTTTATTCATGTAAACAAATTTACACACTGTCTATTCATTTAAACATTATACACAGGTTGTCAAAATTATGTACAAAAAAAATGTTCAGCTTGATGTGCTCAGCTTTGGCTGTACACTTCTCCATAGCCGCACTGTGTCTCTTGGTGGCGCTGTAGGTCCACCCTGCGCTGGAAGGTGAGCTGACAGCGGGAGCAGCTGAAAGGCCGGTAGCTGTTGTGCTTTCGGCTGTGGGTGATGAGGTTGGAGCTCTGGCTGAATCCTTTACCGCACACCTTGCACACGTGTGGTTTCTCTCCTGCGCAGGGAGCAGAAATAAGGCGAGCCGGTCATGATTCACGCTCAAGTTTAACAGAAAACCTATATCGCACGTCTCCCTCTCACCTGTGTGTATGAAGGTGTGTTTCTTCATGTCAGACTTCTGGTGAAACCTCTTGCCGCAGTACTGGCAGGGGTAAGGCCGCGTGTCGGAGTGGATGAGGAGGTGAGTGGACAGGGTGGACGAGCGCTTGAAGACTTTTCCACACACTTTGCAGCCAAAGCTTCGCTCCTGGACACAAAAAATGAAGCTTACGATAAGTCACGGTAGAGCGCGCGCGGCCAATGTACGGAGGCCTTTGTTCTCAACCCCACCATCACGGGTTCGAGTCCCTGGCCCGTTAGCCTTTGCCGCAACTCTTCCCTCTACCTCACAACCCACTTTCCTGTCAGTATACTGTAAAATAAAGCGCACTAGCCAAAAGTCCTTAAAAAAGAAAGAAAGAAACACTTAAAGAGGTAAAGACCTTTGCTCTGCTGTAGCTGCCAACTGCTCGGAAACCAAAGGGCACGTGGGAAATGTCTGCAGCAGCCAGGGATCTCGACAAAGGGATGGAGAGGGTGTTGTACACTTGGTCCCGCAGACTCCCTGACATTAGGGCATCTGAAAGAGACTGAGGAGAAAGGAGCAAGAAGAATGAGATATATTCATGTTAGATAAAGGGTTCAGTGGATTCACTTTGCACAGAAATAGGTGAGCTACTACAAGAAATCGCTTAAGCTGTGACAATGACATTGAAATTTATTTCAGATCACCTTTGCAATAGACATAACAATTGCTAGTTTATCTAAAATTTAAAAACCAGGAAAAAACATCAAAAGCATACGATTTTCTCCTTTTTGTTTTAACATTTTTCATTCAGTCAGTGATGGTTCTAGCATAAATGTCAGACTTCCTTCTGTGTCTGATTTGTTTTAGGAATAAAACAAAGAATTCCCTCTGCTTTTTTATTTATCCTTTTTAACAGTATCTGTTTAATATATTCAGATTTAAAGAATCTGTAAGCAATCTACAGGAAGTGTAGAATGATTCAGAGCAAGGTTGTCTAGTTTGAAGTTTTGGTAACACTTTATTTGAAGGGGGGTGAATAAGACTGTCATGACACTGTCATAAACATGTGTCATGAACATGAATAAGCCTTCATGAATATTTATGACTGTTGTCATAAAGCATCATTCGGTAAATTATGACACTTTTAATACAAAGTTGACATTATGCAAAATGTCTTTGTTATGACAACTTGACATTAACCAAGAAATCATTACTGATTAAACTTTACCTTTAATAACATAAAGTTACCTGATTTTTAAAGTGCAATCAGTAATACTTTTATAACAAATTTATATCAGTAATGATTTCTTGGTTAATGTCAAGTTGTCATAACAAAGACATTTTGAATAATGTCAATTTTGTATTAAAAGTGTCATAATTTACCGAATGACTCTTTATGACAACAGTCATAAATATTCATGAAGGCTTATTCATGTTTATGACAGTGTCATGTCAGTCTTATTCACCCCCCTTCAAATAAAGTGTTACCGAAGTTTTGGACTTCAACCTAGAGAGAGAGATCCAGGTTAATTTGACAAAAAGTCAAATAGCCATTCTGTTTGAAAATAGGAAGCAGAGAGTGGGATACCAATTTCAGAGCATCGGTGCAAAGTTGTATCTTCACACAGTTTATATAACAGGGGAGTGCCCAATTCCCACTGACCGGACTTGTAAATGAGCAACAGAAAGCGTGTTTGTTAGAATGCCGTCCTCTGATGAAAGAGCTCCCTTGGTGGTGAGCCATATCTCCTATATATATATAAAAGCTACAGATGTTTATATTTTACATGATGATCATCTTCAAAACAATTTAACCAAGTAAACTCAAACCAAAAAAAAATAATACAAACTCCATCACAAAACAAAAGCTAGTTAAGACACACATAAAATTAGCATTGATAGAGATATTCTTATGTTAACATAATTATTCCTGATAACTTTTCAAATGTTATTGAAACAGATAATTAGACGAAGATTTCATAGAAAACATCTGCTGCCAGCTCTCCCTCAATCCTAAAACTGATTAAGGTTGAAAAATTGCATAATTTTGGAATAAATATTTTAAAATACAGTTGTTTTGTAATGGAATTTGTTTCATAGAGAAACAATTGCTAATGGTTTCTCTATGAATACACATTTTGTCTGAGCAAAGAACAGCAGGATACCATCAGCATGTGGTTTTACTCGGATAGCAAAATAGGGAATTTAATTATTATTTTTTTTACAGTCTGTTATTCTTTGTTTCTCACCTTTTCACAGAGCGGACAATCCCTGACCGGTGATTTGAGGTCAGTGTGCGACGTGTGGTTGAGCAGCAAGAAGACGAGCCTCTCCAGTTCTCTCTCTCGGTCGGATTGTTGTCGGTCAGGCGACCACGGAGCGACAGGCGTGGGACGGTCTTCCTTCTCCACAGGGGCTTTAGTCAGAAAATAAAACAGATTTTTTTTAACCGGTGGGTTCCAAACTTATCGCCGTCCAATCAACATAACAGAGGAAGAGACACAAGACCCAATTGAGTCTACAAGCATTTCTACAAAATCAAGCCAACATCAGCATCAGCAGTCAGTATATTGCTTTTATTTGTCAGTGCAGCTTTTTATCTCCTAAAGTTTGCAGCATAAATGTGCTTTACTTTTATCATGTTTGGTATTTGGCTAACTTTCCCCTGATTTGCAATGTCATTTGGAGTCTAGACCCCAGTTGGTCGGTCAAGACTCCCCCAGTGACTCAATCTACCTCAGCTTGCTCTTAACCCAGCTGAAAGTGTTCTCTAGTACAATTAATATTAAATTTTGCTCTTCATTTGCTAATTATCATCTTGTTATAAAAACAGCTAATGCAAAAAGTATCATTTTTAAGAAACAGGCTCATACCTGAAAGCCAGAGCTTATCTTTTGGGGTTCTGTAGGAGCAGTTTGCCAGTCCATCAGTGAGAGGGTTTCTGATCTCTGGGGATAAAGTTTGTGGAGCATCTTCAGGAAGCCCAATCCCATGCTTGGCGTTAGTTTCAGCCTGCCGTCTGGAGCAGTGGTTCCTGGGCGGGCTGAGGGGATGCGTCCGTTTGGTCTTGACGAGGAACGAGCGCGGCATGGCGGAGGTAGGCGTCTGAGGGAGTGAAGATGGTGCACTGTAAATCTGCAGGAGTCTTGAGAAGCCAACTCTTTCATGTCACTTTTAGAGCCCCGCACACACTCAGATGTCGCGCACCTGTCTGCTCATCTTCAGTTACAATGCCAAAGTTTGAGGTTTCCTCAACAAATACAGGCTGCCACCTGCATAAAGGTTTTGAGGGCTTTCACTAAGGAAAACCCTGCTCTGCTGGGAGGCAGCTTCGAAACTGATTCCGTCGCTGCTTTTTACATGAAGAGTGTAGTGCATGTTTACAGCAAAAAGCAAACACAGTCCAGTTATTAAAACCTAAAAGTAGGATTATATCATAAAAAAAAATGAAGAGCTACAAGTCTCTACTACAAGTGTCTAAAACATTCTCCAACATGTGTTAATATCACTGTGAGGTTGTCGACGGGTGGTGAAGTGTAAGAGAGGTTACTTGTAAAAGCCATGTCTCAGATTATTAAACTTTATCTTTTAACTTTTTTCTTCTTCTCACTTTTGTAAAAAAAAAAAAAAAAATGCATAAGCCCACGAAATACAGTCGCAAAATAATTATACCTTCTAATCTGGTAAATCTGTTGTATATCATTTAGCCGCTGATGATTTTGAAACTTTTAAGTCCAACACAAGATTGTTGTGGGAATACACAAATAATAATAATAATTGGTACTTAAAACTACCTCGGGCTAATTTCAAATTTGAAAGCCAGCTTGGAATGGTTGACCTTACCTCAGTATTGCACAGCTGAATGTTGACTGCTTCTTGTGTCCTCATTGCTCGCAACATCCTCATTTCTTTTTCTCACACCCATCAACCGACGGCATGTCACAAAGAGATTTGATTTGATTTTGAAAAGCCAGCTGAGGATTGTTTTGCTGGAGGTGAAGGAAGTGAAACCACCTGAGAAGCTTATTCTTTTAGCTCTCGGGAGCTAAAAGAATAAAGACTAGAACGTTCTAAGTTAACACCTCAGAGGCAAGCAAACCCTGTCTATTATTTATCTCTTCTGACACTTTTTCTCGTCGCCAAACTGTCAGAAACAGAGCAGCAGCTTGGTTTTGACTGTGAATACGTTTTGAGCCGACCCCTCAAAAGTGTGATGACTGTAAAACCTATTATGCTTTTGTTTTTGTTTTTTTTGTTTTTAAATGTGGGACCAGTTTCCCCATTGATGGATTCATGTTGCAATGACTGTTCACCGTGGGTGGAACTTACAAACACACCAAGCATTGTTTGGAAAGTCTAAATATCTCATCGTTCTCATGTGAACACGTGAACCTTTGCAGCCCGTATAGGTGGGATACCTTCAGGGTTGTTCAAACCCAGTTTGTGGAAATACCCTTTGTGTTCAACCCATCTGGGAGCTTTTCTTTGCCACGTGTGAGTCATTTTTCACGTTCACCTACCATCAGTGGCGAGAACGTTCAGCTGACTCTAGCTAGGGATGGGAAACATAGACCCAGACCCAGAGTTTGTTTGTGCTTTGTTGTGTTCGTTGTCATGACGAAGGAGGTGATGATGCAACTCGTTACAAAGTGTAACCTGGTTTGATGGCAGTGAATTCAGTTATAATGGTTATGGGTTTTTACATTATAGTTTAGTTTTATTTTGCTGTGACTTTTTTTAAAATTAGTTTTTAGTGTACTTTTGCTAGATTTTATCGGTTGCTATTATTAATAATGAAGCTCAGTTTCAGGTTATCTGTTAATAGTTACAGTAGTAGTTTTAGTTCTTTCATACACTGGAAAATTTTTAGGTACAAAATTCAAAAAAGGTCAAAGATTTGTATTGTGATTATGTTTACATTGATCGGGTGATGGATACTCAACGGAAGATAACATTTTCAAAATAATGTATTTAATTATTGTTGAACAACAAACTTATTCTGGCGTTAAGTGGAGGAATATGGCTTGACGGGATTTGCTGACGTAAACTTCTTGTGTGTGAGGGAAAAAAATCAGTTTGAAAGGCTAATAAATAGATTCATTAACACAAAAATGAAGGAAATTACACCTGTAATTTCAGTATATTTTAGTTATTTTAGTTTTCCCCTATTAATTATTGATTTTATTTATTTCAGTTAAAATGATTCCTCAGTTTCAGTTTTTGCTATTTTATTTGTTTTAATTATTTATATTAACTCTGGATCTCACTGGATATATCAGTGTAAAGTCTAACAAAAAAACAAAAACAAAACTGTAAAACAACAACGACTTTGATTATATTTTAAAAGAGAAATCCATGATTTGTTTTAAGCTTTTATGGAAACGACTGAGGGGGAAAAATGTTTACAGAGCAAAAGAAACAATTTCAATTTTATGTTCAGTTTCAAGGTTAGAAAACACCAAGAACAATCTGAATTTATTACTATTAAGAATTATTTATTATAATCAAAGTATGTTTTTACAAAATCTGAAATGCAAAACTACTTCTAAATGTTTCTCCTTATTCTGAGAAACAGAAGAGATGTCTGAATAAAATTAGCTAATATAACTTGAGGTTGAAAAGGTTCATTTGGTCAAACTTAAACGAAAGTACAGTGACGTACTAACTGCTCGCCCCAGCTACCACGATTAATAATTGTGAAATCGGAGCTCAAGTTCAAGAAATGTGCTCAGAACTACACATGAGAAAGTCCGGATGATGAAGCTGTGAGTCAGAATTTAAAGTTCCCACAAAGATGTACTAAAATGCAAACACCCTCAATTAAAATGAAACTTTTCTCAAAAACAGAAAAAATAAAACAAAAAGTTCAAGTTAAGGGTTTGGACTGAGCTTTTTCAGGGGCAACAGGGTAAAATTAACATGTCTTGGTCTATGATTCAAAGAAATAGCTGAAAAAAAGCTCTTGCTCTCGTCCATTTAACATCTCTTGAACATTTTTAAAACAAATATTTTCCTAAATGAAAATATTTTTTCTTTTCCTTTGCTCTTGTATTACACAAAAATTTAACCTGGATCTTTTGTCAGAGCCACAATTAAACTCTTTTCCTACTCTCGACTCCTTTTTCTGCTCTAAATACACTTCTAGAGTTCATACTAGCGAAAGCATTCAATGTCATCTGCATAACAAGAGAATTTATCATAGCACAATCAGCCTCTGCCCCCATTAAGAATAAAAACAGATAAGGCACTCTGTACTTGATCTCAGTTTTGGGAATTTGAAGCATTGTTGACTCATCTTCACAATGGTCGGAAAAGCAAACCACATTGAAAATATCTTTATTTATTACTGCAAGGCAAGTAATAAATATCTTCCTGTTGTCTACTCAATGTTAGTGGGATTTCCTAATAACAAAAAATCTGCTGCAAAATAAGACAAAGAGTGTATAGCTTTAATTTTTTTCAAATTTAGGGATCGGTTGCTCTATGGATCTTCTCCTCATCTGGTGTAACCATAGTAACTCGATCACTCTCGTTTTTGCAAGCTTGTAAGAGATGTGTTTCTCTGAATCCTGCAACATCTTCACTAAAGTTTTTTTTACTACTGCTTATGTGAAACATGAGTGTGCCACCAATCAGGGGTGCTGCGGTGGCGCAGGGGTTAAGCACAACCCACATATGGAGCCCTTAGTCGGCCATCACAGGCTTGATTCTCAGCCTGTTGACCTTTGCCGCATATCTTCCCCTTCTCACATTACCCACTTTCCTGTCAATTAACTATCAAATAAAGGCCACTAGAGCCAACAAAATCTTAAAAAAAAAAAAAAAAAAAAAAAAAAAATGGCCTGAATAAAGTTAATGGTGAAAAAAATATGTTTAGATTGGAATGCGGTGAATTTTTTATTG